AGTGATTCTGGACGCGTCAAATGTTGTCATTTGTCCGATAAGTGTTGTGCATGTTTTTCCTCGGGAGGGAGCTGTGATCTTTCCCCGCTGAATACGAGATCTGCCGGCATGCGGGTATAGTTCTCAACCCTGGTATCTCCCGCCAGCGCTGTAACGCCACAGCCAGGACAAGCTCTAAGCTCCTGACCGGTCTCCTGGCATGTGTGGTAGTGTACTGAGTGTGTGTGTGTGTGTGTGTGTGTGTGTGTGTACGTAAGGCGTGAAGATAGAATAGGGAAGAGAAAGCAAAGATCGCGCGCGGTCCGTGGTCCGTTTGCTAGCGTACTACTCTGGCATTCGCCTGGTGATGATCGGAGAAACCACGGAGAATTACTCATCAGAGCAGCCAGCCGCTAGAATTCTCTCCAGACAGCAACTGAATTCGACGTACCTGGCAAAATAATGACGAAAATCCTGCCACCGTCGGGACTCAAACTCTAGGACCTTCCGATCAAAAGCACTGCAATGACATGGTGGCAATTAATGCCCTGAGCCACCTCTTTTCGGTTTCGATATCAGAAGAGTGTCGGAAATCTAATTGATGGGTATAACGTCAGTGAGTTTGTGGAGGTTGCCAGAATCCAATTCGAAGGCCGATTGCTTTGATCAATGGTTTTCTGATCACGTTCAGTCGTCAGCCGTAGCAGCAACGTGTACAATGGGTCAGTGACTGAGCGTGACCTTACCTTGTCTCCTCTCATACTCTGCTCTGCATCTTCTCTGCAATCTATTTCCTTTCTTTTTTTCCTTTTGCAGGAGAAATAGCGGTGACAATAGCAGTTCAAGCGTTATAAAACTCAATTGAAACATACTTCTTACACCTACCCTTCTTCACTCCCTGGTATGTTGCCCACATCCTCTTCACCCTATTCCTTCCCCTATCCGTCCTATCTCACTATATAACAAGTACCCTCTCCACCTCTGTCCACACTGCCTACCTTCTATTTCGTACTCTACCCCTATTTCCTATCCGAATTCCCGCCCTGCCTCTATCAGGTAATCATGCTTCTATCAGCTCCGATTCTTTTCTCCATTTCATGCTGTACCTCTCTGCTCTCTCGTGTTTCTCCACTCTGACTCATAATTTCGTGGTTGACTGTTTAATTATTTTGTTTCCAAGTATCGTTTCCAAGTTTCGATCCGTAAGTGAAGTGTTTTATCACAGAAGATAGCGTTGTTCGTCCCTCCTCTGGATGTTGAGATCCGACGCCGACCTACACATCGGCGGTGTTTCCCCAACAAGGTATCTCCCACCACCAGGGTACCTCTAAGCTCCCGACTAGTCTTGTGACATGTGTGGTAGTGTAATGCATAAATGTAAGTAAGGATTGAGCACAGCGAAAGGAAGAGAAAGAGGCGCAGTCTGTGGTTTGGTTGTTAGGGTACTGTTTTGGCATTATCTGGTATTGAGTGAGAAATCACGGAAAACTGGATCAGAGGAGACGGCCGCTAGAATTCTCCTTCTGTCATTGGTTGTCTTGACCTAGCTTTATTGCTAGCGTGAAAATCCTATTTTGGGTCATCTACTTCTTCCACAAGCGTGTCTCTTCATCCCGACCTCTCTCCATTCGCCACTCTCTCCAATCCGCTCAGTCCCCTCTAGCATTTCTCCACCCTGTTCACCGGCTTAGAGATATACTCAACAATTATAACGAGAGAAAAATAGGGACTTTGAGGACAAACGTGAGTTTCATTTCTAATTGTTGTGAAGTTTTTTTTAAATCCTCTTACTACTAATGAGTTTAGAGAGTTCTAAATAGTGGAAAAAATATAGTACTTAAAATTGTATTTTGTCTTGGAAAGTCTGCTGCCATGAGAGACGAAACATTATATTGCGGATAATTAACTTTAATATCTATTAGTTTAATACATCAATGAATAGAGGGAGAACACATCTTTATTCTCTGAAAAGTTTAAAGTTTTATTTGTGGTTCTGTCTTAATATTCTCTAACGAGACTACTTTGTAAGAAATGCAAGTGGCAGGAACTGGAATATGCGTTACGCGAGGTTATAGATAAATAATGTTGCTGCTCACATCTACCTCGTACGTAACACTGTCTAATACACCTTCCTAGTAGTAAAGTTTACGACTAATAATGTTGACGAGGACTTTAACCACAGAATTCGCCATCTGTTACTGCACAGCAAATAACATTTAAGCGAGTTTCTGCTTAGTGGGGTGTTAAAATATGTCGCCATAAACATGTCCAAAAAATTACTCTTTCGGATTGCAGTCAGTCGCGTAGAACAACGAACAGCGCTTGGAAATGTTATGATGCACGATGTCGCCCAACAGATCACATGAACATATACACCTTTAAGAAGCGGAAGAACAATAGGTTGGCATGGAGATTATATGTTACAGGCGTAATAAACGTAACTCCGCAAATAATGTTTAATTCTAATGAATGCAAATGGGTTTTGTCATTCACATCAACATACACATGTGTTAATGCTATGTACTGTTGTTCTGAATAGCTCCGGTGTCGCCTTAGGGTGTGGGAATGACTCTGCCGGAAACTACAGAGAGCCCAGCGAGCAAGAAGCACGAGTCCATTTTACCACCTCAGTGTTTTTCAGATATTACTTGGGCCGCAAGTATTCTTGCAAGTATTACTTACGATTGGGCATTATCGCAAATTATATGCATCAAGATGATTTAATCAGAACGTTGCACGTTATGATAAATTAATCAACCAGTTAAGGTAGTGAAAAAAATCAAAACATATTAATTTGAACTATTTTTTCTCATATATAAACAACATACTGATTATTTTTTATTTGTATTGTAATTTTTCCACATTCGTTTAAACCTGCGTAATCTCTAATTCCGCTTTGTAAGTAATTAATGTTGTCATTTTTTACTTTCTCACATACTACATACGTAGTTTAGAAAAAAGTTATGTAACGAGTCAGTGAAAATATCTATTTTTCAGTAGAAAAACTTGTAATGAAGGCGTCGGATTTCGAAAAAATGAATTATTCTTATGTTGCAATTGACTTCATCTAAAAACTTGTTTAGTTAGAATCTACATTTTAAGCCTAAGAAAAATTAGTTACGTCTGCCCGTCCATTCCGTCTATCCGTCTGTCTGTCCGGCTCTCGGTCTGTCAGTGTGTGAATTTTGCTAGGGGCCAAACCGTAAGCAGAATTTTCATTAAAACTGATCTTTTCCAATAGATTTGGTTGATGCGAAGGCCCATTGAATTCTAAACGAATGTTTTAATTCTTGAAGGTATTTTACATGACGTCTTAAGGTCATTTTAATTTCCTAAATAAAGGCTGTTTCAGAAACGAGATTTTTACAAAAATGTCTCTAAATTTTGTATCCAATTATCCAATTTTATTTAAGTCCAATTTACATTTCGAAAACTGCAAAAGTTACAAACTATGGAGAAAGTATATGCTGAATGTTTTTTTCGATTAGTTTAGTTCAATTAGATTGACTAAACTAGAGGAAAATTAGAAAATAAAAAGCAATACTATCGTTTCAGAAGACTTAGAACATAATTTAAGCCACGTCGGAGGTAATCTGGACTGCTCATTCTCTGAGAATAAAAGTGGAAGAATGTTCTACGTCCTTCATTGAATCTAAAATATGATGATGCGTTATAGAATCAGAGAATATGATTTGTTTTCCATATGAAAGTTCTATATGCCCACCTGGTAGAATTTATGCGTTGAACGCCTAAAAGAGATTTTGAAATAATAATCACTACGAGGCTACAAGTACCTTAAAAATACTAATTATTCATAAATGAGTGTGTGTAGAAATACAGTAATAGGTGCACTTGTCTCGTAAAAGCACCAAACAAGGCTGCTCCTTCTTTGATGGTTGACTATTGAAGCCGCTAATACAGAGGTGCCCAACTTGCAAGGCCTAAAAGGCCACAACTAAAACCTTTAATAAGGTTGCGGGCCACATTTTCATTACTCGGGCGATCCAGATCTTAGTTCCCTGCAGTGTTGAGCCCGGAAATTTGCCCGGCTGTTCTGAAACGCGCGCGTGTGTGTGTGTGTGTGGGGGGGGGGATCTTTCACTTTTGGCTAATAAACTTTCGCGGGCTGCAGTAAATGGCTCGGCGCACCGCCAGTTGGACAACCCTGCTCTAATAGAAGCATTGGGAAAGCTCTTGAGAGTAGCAAGTATTCTCATATCTCATTCATTAAAGATGATCACCCTTTCATCATTAATAGTTATGGAGAAATTTGGAGAATTAGAAAGTCTATTTCGTTGAAATCAAATTAAACTATTTTACTGATTCAGATAATCGTGTACCTCTTTGTGCCAATGTGACGCTCAAATTAAGAACTTAAATTATTCTGGCCGACACCAACTATATCTATATGAGTAGACAGTATTGGCAAAGGTGTTAGCGCACTGACTTTCAAACCTCGAATTTGAGTGTACACAGTCGACTGAGGCGGTTAGATTTGTAAGAGTGGGGAATCCTTTCTGAAATTTACACGTCACATTTGAAGGATGTAATAGAACTGTGAATATACACGATCTCTACAACAGTTCCCTAATCACATTCCATGTTTCCTCAGACAGGGAAACCCAATGACTATAATATTATTGTGCAGGTTTCTGGTGATGAAGATGGGCGTAAAAAATTATTTTGGTTACAGGAGCTCTCGTAGAGCTAGAAAGCTCCCGACAATAGATGGGAGGGCAAAGTTTCCAGAGTACGGATATTAAACAACAACAAGAAACTAACAAAGTGTAATATCCTAGCTGAAAATACCATAAGTACGCTACTGAGTTATGTCCGCAAGTGTAATTACTACGCCCAACTAGAGAGTGCACTGGCAATTACAAACACAACATACACATTTCAGAAAATTATATACTATAACGGGATAAGAGAAGTCTGATGAACCATGCTATAATTTAAGACAAGTGATTAAGGGAAGAAGGTACCATGAAATGGGTTAACTTATCAAAGGGCGCGGGTACTCACAGCTCGCGCAGGGCGTGCAGTGGGCGCAGCGCGTCGGCCGGCGGCGCCGTCAGGCGGTTGGCGGCCAGCGACAGCACCTCCAGGCGGCCCAGCCCCGCCAGCGCCCGCGCCGGCAGCACCGACAGCGCGTTCTGGTCCAGGTTCCTGCGCACGCGCACACTCCGCTAAGCTCACTCGCTCACTCGCTCTCTCTCTCTCACTCGCTCTCTCTCTCACTCGCTCTCTCTCTGTCCACTCGCTCTCTCTCTTCACTTCGCTCTTTCTCTCCCTGCCTCTCTCTCTCACTCGTCTCTCTCTCACTCGCTCGCTCTACTTCTCTTGTCTTCTCGTCTCTCTCTCACTCGTCTCACCTCTCTACTCGCTCATCCTCCTCTCTCCTCTTCTCTCACTCGCTCTCTCTCTCCTCCTCTCTCTCTCCTCGCACTGCTCTCTCTCTCATTACGCTCTCTCTCTCACTACGCGTCTTTCTTACTCGCTCTCTCTCTCACTCGCTTCTCTCTCTCACTCGCTGTCTTCTCTTCCATCGCTGCTCTCTCTCTCACTCGCTGTTCTCTCTCTCACTCGCTGCCTCTTTCTCACTCGCTGTTCTCTCTCACTCGCTGTCTCTCTCTCACCACTGCGCTGTTTCTCTCTCTCACTCGCGTCTCTCTCCATCCTCGCTGTCTCTCTCTTCTACTCGCTGTCTCTCTCTCGTCACTCTGCTGTCTCTCTCTCACTCGCGCTCTCTCACTCGCGCCTTACTCCTGCTCTCTCACCTTCCGCTTGTCTCTCTCCCTCACTCGCTGTTCTCAGTCCTCTCACTCGCGCTCTCTCTCTCACTCCGCGCTGTCTCTCTCTCACTCGCTGTCTCTCTCTCACTCGCTGTCTCTCTCACTCGCTCTCTCTCGCTCTCTCTCGCTCGCTCTCTCTCGCTCTCTCTCTCTCTCACACACACACACACACAAAGATTAGATGGTTGTCGGCGATTCCGGGCGCATCAACCTGGTCAATAGTACCGTAAGTATAGTGCATGTTTCCCCCTCGGGAGGAGATAGTGGTGGTGATCTTCCACCGCGGGATGGCGAGATCCGGCAAAGACCTCAGTCGGCTAGAGAGGCTCCCCTCAACCCCGTATCTCACTCCAGCGAGGCACCTCCCCAGCTCTAAGCCCCCGACAGGTCTCCCGGCATGTGTGGTAGTGTAGTGCATGTTGATATGAGTATGTGTGATAAGGGGTAAGGGAAGAAAAAGGAAGAGGTAGGGAAGGTCGCGCGCGGTCCATGGCCTGTTTGTTAGGGTACTGCTCCGGCTTTCGCTTGGTGTTGATGGGGAAACCATGTAAAACTACCGATCAGAGCAGCCGGCCGATAGAATTCTCCTCCAGACAGCGACTGTATTCGACATGGCTGAGAAGCTAACACTGAGCCAACGCTCCCTGTCACACACAAGTACGCAACTCTGACTGAGACATGCGCACACATGCTTACACGTGCACTCACATACACATGTACAACACACACAAATAAACATGCAGGACCTCAAACTCATGCATACTTACTCACGCACACATTCAAATATTTTGACACTCGCCCACATGCACACAAGCTTTACCCCTTTTCCTTCTTTGCTTTTAGCAACTACATGCCACCATGTCAACAATTTACTGTATCACGTTTTTATTTAGTTTTCATTTGAATGGGTGAAAACCAGAAAGATTTGCAATGTGTTTATACAATTTACAGTGAATGTGAAAGTGTGGGTTTATGAAATAATTTAACTGCCGTGACAATGAATCACTTTACATTGGTATTGAATAATATTAACATATTTTTCTCGGAATATATAAAATGTCACTTATACCACTCTAATTTTCATCTATTCATTTACTCGTTTAAAAACGAATATGTTTCTCTTTCCGCATTGCAATAATACTAGTTAGCCTCATTTTTGTGCAGCTATAATTGTGCAGATAAAAATTAATTTGCCTTCAAGGAGTTCTCCACTTTTTGCGTTCTCTTCAAAGATTCTTCAAACTGCCGAGTCTTTAGAGCTGCAATCTCAAAGACCCGCTCTTAAACGTGCATTTATTTCTCAAGCTTGCAGTGCTTGTTGCAAAGATGAAAACATACATTTTCAATATTATAAGTTGCTTACAATTGCATTAATTCATAACGTACAAATAAGATAGTGACCAGAACGTAGCCAATCACAATTTCTTTCTCAATGTAATCTTATTGTTAATGAACGTAATTGAGTTAAATTTAATATGTTGTTACCTCTCTTTCATTAGTTCCTTTAATGTTAAAAATGTATAAAAATTGTGTGTATTTTGAACGAACAAAAGAAAATACTGGTTGTAGTAGTGATCAGATGTGCGTTTTGATTTGACTACCTAATACACCGTTTTAAATACAATAATCACTCTTGCTCCCAATAACGTTTGAGTTGTCTCACAGAACTGAATAACCAACATGTTACAATATTTCCGACTACAATGAAACCGACTACATTGTTCTCTGTCCTTTATTACTCTTGACATGTCATTATTAACACAATGTCTCGACCGATCGGTCTCAAACCTGGGGCACAGAAATAGATGGTTAATACACAATGAAACATTACACATGTCACAGTTTTCTTGGTGATCAGATAGGCATATGTGACTTGGTGTGACATCTAGTTAAGATCTAACATTAGGTCATTGTTGCACCTCCTGCCTTATAAAATAAATATTTTTAATTTGCAAACGTCCTTCTCAACGGGGCCCGTGGCCTCAGATATGTGCTTACCTTCGTTAAAAGATGAATTTTATAAGATAGGAGGTGTAACGAGCTAATGTCCTTGATCACTTTAAAAAATCGAAGTATAAATTATTGGTAAAAAAATATAATTCTAAAAAAAGCCTCCCAAAAAATATAAAGCTAAGATGAACATTCGCATGGAATCTCACAAAACGGAAGTGCCCGTTTGCTCTTGCGAAGCCTCGAGCCTTCCAGAACCCAGTGCCTCCTCGGCCGTGGTCACGTGTGCCGGATGCGCAGGGGGTGCCGAGCGCAACGAATTACCCGAGGGGGGGACGTGCACTACACTTACGGTGCTATTGACCTGGGTAGTCGATGCAGATTATGCCCTTGCCCATTCGCTACACTCACTCCCCGTCGCAATGGACGACGGACGTTACCACCAATACCACCCTCACCACCACCACCTCTTCCCACGCCATCGCCACAGCCTCCCTCGTCTTCCAGGGGGTAATGGATTAAAAAAAGAGTTATTTTCGATGCGTAGACTTCATTGGCTATAGAATAATGTTTATTTCTTGAGTAAACATTACAATTATGGTGAAAACATGAAACAATTGCTTGCAAATTTAAAGTATTCTAAAAATAAAAGATTGTGATATGTCTTAATAAAACACGTAAACGTAAACGTATTTTTTTTATATTGAGCCTAGCTAGCCATATCAAGCTGCAGAATTACTTTCATTTCATTATTTGCGTAATTTTTCAACCTCATCTCAACTTCAAAATGTCTCGTTTGTTATTTTGTTTAGTTCTTGGCGCTTTTTCTGCTGTATTCCAACATCCTGCCTGCAAATTCTTTAAGAAACCAATAATCCTTCCAGTTCCTGGTCAATTTTGAATAACAAACGGACTGAGTTAACCCCAACCTGTCGCGGAGTGCTCTTTTGGGGGCGACCGAAGCCGCCTAAACCACAGTTCCGTCGACCTCCTGGACAGACAGCAGAGTCCCACGCGAAGCCGTCAGCACACGTCACGCCCACATACTCCCACGCACTCACACGCACACCAACACACTCACATCTGGTTCCGGGACGGGTCATTTATTCACCGGGCTGCCCTATTTGCAACTAATGGCTAGTTTGTGAAGGGCGGAGCCGCGCGTACAGCCCACATTACTCGGGAAACTCCACCGGCTGAGTGGTAATTTGAACGTATGTTGCAGTTGAATGGAGAACGCTTTTATTTCCTGCTCCTTGTGGGATAAAGTACGGGCCAGATTAATGGACTGACTTGCCAATACCCGAAATGTTTGATATTAATGATGATGCTTAAAATGATTCATAGATGACGTATATGGAGCTTCGAAGTAGGCTATATTCCGACGAAACAACACAATGAGTCGAATGAAAAAAAAAATAACCCCAATGCTAAATATATAATATCAGGCATCCTAGGGACATTTTTGTGTGATTATTCACCTTCGTATTTCTTTTAAGTCACTTGGTATTTTATTATATTTAATGTGTAATGTACACTCGTCTTGGGAAATTAATAATAATTATTTTGTCACTTTTGTCAATGTGGGTATTTTGTCTCTTTTCAATTTTTATCAAAAGTGAATAGCTACAAAATAAAATAGCAAAAAAGTAGATGCTACATAACGCTTGTTTCTATTTAACTACGAAATGAGAAGTCTAATTTAGACAAACATTTAACTGCCAAACATTATTCAAATGACCAGTAGTAATATGTCTCCTAGAATACCTCACTCTCTTAGTTAGTTTCTATGTGCTATTACGCATGTGACTGAAGAATGCAGGTAGTGTTGTTATAACATGTGCTGCTGTTTATAATGACTACATAAGACAAAAACAAACAAAAATAGCTTTCCTCAGTAATATAGCAGAATTTACGTAACATGCAAGTCTGTAGATTAGCTGCAGCAATGTCACCAAAGAAAAATCGTGTTATTAATACGCAGAATCTCTAATGACCGTATGACAACTATTATAGACTTGGGTCAAAACTATACATGCTGCGACCCAGGTCTTTCTTTTGTCTTTCCATTGTTTCTTCCAATACTGGCAGCGTTTCTGGTCAAGTAGAAGCAGAACAGCCTACATATGCATTGTTCTACTAAATAATTTGCAGTTTACTCTTTCGATGTCGTGTCTGAAACCTGCGGATTCAGACTCTTTATTTTCATATTTTGCAATTTAAAATAGATCTTTACCAAATAACCCATTAAATAATCCACAAAACAATTGTCTACAGTAGCAAACAATCATTTAATAACTCTCATTGTTAGCTCATTCTGTGACCCACTTGCGACAAGTCGTCATTTTTTTCCACATGGACGATTTCAATCGAATCGTTCACAGAAACAAAAGCTCGGCGTGCGTTAACCGCCCGCATGACGTCTCTCTTCGAGGCGGTGTCTGTGACGTGAATGCGGCGTCACTGAGGAAAGTAAGCGATGCCGGCCATTCCCGCAACCGTTTACCTCCGTAGCGCTCACACATCCCGTGTGCGGAGCGGCCTGTCGCCGTGCCCGATACGAAGTATTACCCCCGGTCGCCACGCGCCTGCCAAAGTCAAGAAAATCAGTCTGAAATTACGGCGCTCGCCTGGTGCAATGGCTGCCTCCGCGCCCGCCGCCCGTGTTATTACCGGAGGGGTGGTGCACGCAACGGGGCCGTTGAAAGAAGTTCGCGGAAAGACAAGCCATCTGCTAACCGTGCCCACTCCGCGCACGATACAGGGGTGACAGGGGCTGAGAGAAGGGCGCGGCGTTTGGAAGGTGCACGGCATCTGTTATGAACGTGACTCATTGGAAATCAAGGAGAATAAGATATTCTCCACAAGCGTTTCAGTTCATATCTATATATTGAAACGGCTTTTTAAACTACGTTTAGAAAGAAACTCGAGCTTTTTACTCAACCAAATTCCGTGATTTTTGCTTCAAATGAAAGATAATGAGCCCCAGATGTGTTATCGCTGCTATTTTTCTCCGAGATTATGATATAAACACTGGCGTTCAATAAAGTATTTACATTAATAGAATGTACGCTAATCTGTCATCATTTTTTGCTCATTACGTATTTTATGCAATGCGAGATTGGCCGTGAAACACATTAAGCAACGAGACGAAATCGTCATTCTACCCGCAGATAAAGGCAACGCCTCTGTGATCATAGATTGCGCCGATTACAATGCTAAGATGACCAGCAAACTCAGGGACAGTAACACCTATCAGAAACTGGACCACAACCCTTTGCGGAAGGTGACTCAACAAATCATGTTCAGCACAAATTAAACATCTTCCATCAGTGACGAAGATGATACAATCCTCAAGTTCGCCAACAATCACTGCATACTATATCTATGGCCTACCCAAAATGCACAAGCCCGAAGTTCCTCTCCACCCAATAGTAAGTGCTATCAACTCATCTACCCAACATTTAACTAGTTTCTTGGGCAAAAAACGGAAACCTCTCACTTACCATATGTCGTCCTCCGTCCTCAACGCCAAACTCTTCATCGAACTCATCCCCTCCACCAGAATAGGCCCTGACGATATCTGCTATCTCCGGTTATAGCTAATTGTTCATGGGAGCTTTCGAAGAAGCAGCGCTTAGAAAACGCACCCTTAAAACCGTCGCTACGGCTTTGCTACGTCGACGATACATTAGTCATCGTACCCCATGGCACCGAGTCTCTTGAAACCTTCCTCGCACACCTCAATAACATCCATTAAATTCTCCATGGAAACAGAACAAAATGGACAACATTCTTTCCTGATCGTCCTATGAACCAGGCGCCCTGATGGCACACTCGGTCATTATGTTTACCGCGAACCGCTGCCACACTCCAATTTCTACCGACATGCCGACTCATACCACCACCAGGCCACGAAGCAATGGTGTCCTTTCCAACTCTTACCGGACCTCCCTCATATGCGACTACAATAGCCTTGAGTCTGGAAAAGCCACTATTAGGAGAGGACTTTCTGGGTAATGACCAGAGCGGATTTGCCGTGCATCAAGCCCTATCGAAATTCCAGCCTACTCTCTCGAGGGAACGGAACGAGTCTTGCTGTCCGCCCCTTAAGACAGATCAATTAACTTATATCAGAAGAGTCTCGGACAAGATACGTAGATTACTCCACAGAGCCGATATCCGCCACATGTTTCACGCTCGCAATAAAATCGGGGGAACCCTGATTGAGGTGAAGGATCGTCCGGGCCCTCTTCAAGATGCCAGCGTTTACGAAATACCATGCAGCTGTGGTCAACTCGCCGCGGAAACGGGTCACCTCGTTAATTACCACGAGACCCGTATTATATCTACAGAAGACCGATGGTGGCCTCGTTTAATCAACGAGGCCTTGGAAATCTCCAGGAGACCCACAAACCTCAATGGAGATGATGGGCTCCGCCTTAGCAACACCTGGAGACGGGCCGTCGCTCCCTCCAATACGGCCCCGCCCCTCGGAGAACCCTCCACCCCCGCAAAAGGCAAATGACGTGCCCGCTTATTAGGCCGTTTTATTTTGACATTTCCTTCAGTCCCCGATCGCGCAAATTCATCTTGTGGATGTCCAACCTGTTCAGTTTTCTATCCTCTTCCCTTTCCACTCCACCTCCCGCCCCACGCTTTATTTGGTGTCCCGGTATCGTTCTTATTTCTCTCCGCCCATTGCGGGTCGCCGATGCGGCCAGTCCACCCATGCACCCTCTCGTATATTAATGCAAAACGCTAGCCTCTCGGCAACAGAATAGGCTCAAAACGGCATTTCTATTAGTTTCTAAGTTTAGATTATACATTAGTTTATTTAAGATAGACCCTAACCTCCGCTGTATAAGCCTAATCAACTGCAGTTAAATATTTAACCCCCGTAGCAAAATAAATTCCCGCCTTTCCAGAGCAACTGGAGAGGAGAAACCGAAAAACCTCGGCAGCAGTATAGCTCTGAAGAAGGCCACAAGACGATGGCCGAAACGTCACCTCGATCGACTGAGACGCGGCTCACCCTGGACAGCGGCATATGACTCCGGCCGCGGAAGCCTACGAATACATATAGAGAGGACTCCTGTTTAATACAGAGTTTTAATATAATTGTATTAATTTTAGAGATAATGCACCCGATGAAGGCTCGCAGGCGCGAACTCACAGGTTCGAAACATGTAGTGCAACATGTAGACTTTGTAAAACTAACTGTTGGTGACTGTTATCGAAGAAAGTGTAGAATTAAACTTATGGTATTTTAAAGTGAATAAACATGTTGACGATTTAATAACCTTTGTATGGTTTTTTAAAATAATTTTGCAGAATTACCGTCTGTAAAATACAATGGGTCAATACGGATGAGTGAAACTTTAAATATTTTAAGAGAGAGCGCAATCATTGAAAAAATGTAGTATTTTTTAATCCGTTAATTGCCCATAGATGTACAAGCAATGAACACTACTTTTCAGTTGTAAGTACAGTTTTAAGAATCAAATTCAGATCAATGTTGTGGCTGGTTTTTACTTTTTCGCGTCTGTATTAGTAAGATAAGTTTTAACAATAATAAAAAAACGCCTATAATTAAATTTAGCGAAATTGAATACTTTAAAAAAATATCAACTACTATTATTATCTGAAACATGAATCTTTATTACTCGTATTATGGCTTCGGATCTGAACTTCGCGTATTTCTTATAAAAATGTAGAAATTATCTCGCGCTTCAAAAATTGAAATATTTCTACGGTTTCATATGTTCTCCCCGTTCTTTCAAAGGAACCTGAAACGTCAAGGCGTATTTCTTATAAAAAAGTAGAAATTATCTCGCGTTTCAAAAATTAAAATATTTCTACGGTTTCATAAGTTCACCCGGTTCTTTCAAAGAAACCTCGAGGCGAAGTGTTACAGCATCATGTCGCAATTGCAATACCCGTGCTTCGCCGGAGACGTCCGTAAACCTCGCGCCCTCCGCCGAATAAAAAGAGGGGCGGCGGCGGGCGGGCCGTCGCGGGCGTGCGGGCGGGCGCGAGGGCAGGGCGCCGAGGGCGGGGCGCGAGGGCGGCCGAGGGCTGGCGCCGACGGCGGCGCGAGCGCGGGCGGAGCGGGCGGGCGGTGCGGGCGGGCCGTCGGTCGGAGCGGGCCGTCGTCGGGCGCGGCCGTTCGGTCGGCGGAGCCGTCGGGCGGGCCGGGCCGTCGGGCGGGCCGTCGGGCGGGCCGTCGGCGGCGCGGGCCGTCGGGGCCGCGGCCCGTGGCGGGGTCGGGCGGGCCGTCGGGCGGGGCCGGGCCGTCCGTGCGGGCGGGCCGTCCGGGGGCGGCGGGCCGTCGCGCGGGCTCGGCGGGCGGGCCGTCGGGCGGGCGGCCGTCGGGCGGGCGGCCCCGTCCGGCCGGGCGGGCGCGGCGCGGGTTTCCTTTCCCGGAGGGAGCGAGCGAGCATCGCGCAGCGGCGCCGCACAGGCTTCAAGCATTCGCACGTCCGAGTTGGGAATTTAGTTCTCCAAATGCTCCATTTGAGATAGCTTACTCTGCATATTTGCATGCGCAATTCTACTAAAAACAACTTTTGAATGATCGCTTTAAATGTTGATATTAGCTGAACTCGCATGGGTATATTCAGTGGCATGAAAATCGAAGTCCGAAATTACATGTTAATTGATTCTTATTTTTAAGTTTTAATAACCACATTATTTCTTTACATATTTTACTTCAATAGCTTATAATATGATTCTTGAGTACATCTTCTATTTTCACATAGGTGTCGGAAATTCACGTGACCTTTATTTTTTTAAAATAAAGGATATTTTCATGGTCTTATTAACTTACCAATGAAAATATTTCAAATTGCTAAAACGATTATTCGTTCTTTATCAACAGCGTAGAGTAATTTAGAATAAAAGAAGACCGGGAGTATTTGCATTAAAGGAATGCAATGCTAAGGAAATACTGGATGCATTAGCAAGAATCTTGAGCCGTTCATCACATGTCATAGATGCTAAAAAGAAGCTCTTGTTGAGAAGCAATTTTCTTAACTCACGATTCACAAATTAGAGGGGGAGGAATCAAAGGCCCAGTAATCATTCCCAAACACACGTCGCTGCAGAACACACCGTCAGCTACCAGCTCAGCGACTGCACGGCGTCGCCGCGGGTTGCAGCTTCCCAACCACCTGCCCCAGCGCCACGCTCACATCTCCGCTCCATCACCGCCTTGCTGTTCGCACCCCAGCCGTCGCCCGCATCTCCTACTCCGCCTCCCGCTCCATTTTCACTGCGACTGCGCTTTCGCCTTGCAAGTCTTGGGCGCCGCGTCCCCCCTCCGCCATCGCCCACCGCCTTCTGCCTCTGCATTCGGCCGCCGCCTTCGGTTTCTCTTTCGCCCTGCTGTTCCGACCTCAGCTCTCGCCTCCACCTGTAACGTCGGCTCCACCTGCGCCATCTGCCTACTGCCATCACCTTCGGCTATCGCTATGTACTTGCATCTGCCTTCTGCCATCTCCTTCGGCTATCGCCCTCCGCCATCGGCCTTGTCTCCACCCTCCTCTCTGCAGCCTACGTCTCCGCCAACGCCTCCACCTCTGATTCCGCGTTCGCCCCTCAGCCCTTTCTGCCCTCCCCTCCGTCCACGTCTTCACCCACCACTTCTGCATCCGTGTGCGCGTCTGCCTTCGGTCCCTCTTCAGCCGACCGTTCCCGCTCTTCCACTGTGTCCGTCCGCGTCTCCAGTCCGCATGGCCTCGCCCCGCCCCGTCTCGCTCTTCCCCTCACTCGTCTCCACTCCTCCCGCGCCGCCCGCGCTTGCTCTTTCCCCACAGACTCCCGGCACGCCCCG